GTCACACTCGCCCACACTCTGCCACACTCGCCCACACTCAGTCACACTCGCCCACACTCAGGCACACTCGCCCACACTCTGCCACACTCGCGCACACACCCCAACACTCAGTCACACTCGCCCACACTCAGCCACACTCGCCCACACTCAGACACACTCGCCCACACTCAGACACAGTCGCCCACACTCAGACACACTCAGTCACACTTGCCCACACTCAGACACACTCAGTCACACTCGCCCACACTCAGCCACACTCGCCCACACTCTGCCACACTCAGACACACTCAGACACACTCAGCCACACTCGCCGACACTTAGACACACTCAGTAACACTTGCCCACACTCAGACACACTCAGTCACACTTGCCCACACTTAGCCACACTCGCCCACACTCAGCCACACTCGCCCACACTATGCCACACTCAGCCACACTCGCCTACACTCAGACACACTCAGTCACACTTGCCCACACTCAGACACACTCAGTCACACTTGCCCACACTCAGACACACTCAGTCACACTCATCCCCACTCAGCCACACTGGCCCACACTCGCCCACACTCTTCCACACTCGCACTCACTCAGCCACACTCGCCAACACTCAGCCACACTCACCCACACTCAGACACACTGAGTCACAGTTGTCCACACTCAGGCACACTGGCCCACACTCAGTCACACTCTCCCACACTGAGACACACTCAGTCACACTCGTCCACACTCAGGCACACTGGCGCACACTCAGTCACACTCTCCCACACTCAGACACACTGGCCCACACTCAGTCACACTCGCCCACACTCAGGCAGACTCGCCCACACTCTGCCACACTCGCGCACACACCCCCACACTCAGTCACACTCTGCCACACTCGCGCACACACCCCCACACTCTGTCACACTCTCCCACACTCAGCCACACTTGCCCACACTCAGTCACACTCGCCCACCCTTAGCCACACTGGCCCACACTCAGTCACACTCGCCAACACTCAGGCACACTCGCCCACACTCAGGCACACTCTCCCACACTCTGCCACACTCGCGCACACTCGCCCACACTCTGTCACACTCGCCCACACTCAGCCACACGCGCCCACACTCTTCCACACTCGCCCACACTCTGCCACACTCGCACACACTCAGCCACACTCACCAACACTCAGACACACGCAGTCACACTTGCGCACACTCAGACACACTCAGTCACACTCATCCACACTCAGACACACTGTCCCACACTCAGTCACATTTGCCAACACTCAGGCACACTCCCCCACACTCAGCCACTCTCGCCCACACTCAGGCACACTCGCCCACACTCTGCCACACTTGCACACACACCCCCACACTTAGTCACACTTGCCCCACACTCAGCCACACTCGCCCACACTCAGCCACACTCGCCCACACTATGCCACACTCAGACACATTCAGCCACGCTCTCCTACACTCAGATACACTCAGTCACACTTGCCCACACTCAGACACACTCAGTCACACTCTCCCACACTCAGACACACTGGCCCACACTCAGTCACACTCGCCCACACTCAGGCAGACTCGCCCACACTCTGCCACACTCGCGCACACACCCCCACACTCAGTCACACTCTGCCACACTCGCGCACACACCCCCACACTCTGTCACACTCTCCCACACTCAGCCACACTTGCCCACACTCAGACACACTCAGTCACACTCATCCACACTCAGCCACACTGGCCCACACTCAGCGACACTCGCACACACTCTTCCACACTCGCACACACTCAGCCACACTCGCCAACACTCAGCCACACTCAGCCACACTCGCCCACACTCAGACACACTCAGTCACACTCGTCCACACTCAGGCACACTGGCCCACACTCAGTCACACTCTCCCACACTCAGACACACTCAGTCACACTCGCCCACAGTCAGACACACTCGCCCACACTCAGACACACTCAGTCACACTCGTCCACACTCAGGCACACTGGCCCACACTCAGTCACACTCGCCAACACTCAGGCACACTCGTCCACACTCAGACACACTGGCCCACACTGAGTCACACTCGCCAACACTCAGGCACACTCGCGCACACTCAGGCACACTCTCCCATACTCTGCCACACTCAGCCACACTCACCACACTCAGACACACTCGCCCACACTCAGACTCACTCAGTCACACTTGCCCACACTCAGACACAGTCATACTCGCCCACACTCAGCCACATTCGCCCACACTCAGTCACACTCGCCCACACTCTGCCACACTTGCACACACACCCCCACACTCAGTCACACTTGCCCACACTCAGCCACACTCGCCCACACTCAGTCACACTCGCCCACCCTCAGCCACACTCGCCCACACTCAGCCACACTCGCCCACACTCAGACACACTCGCCCACAGTCAGACACACTCAGACACACTCGCCCACACTCAGACACACTGGCCCACACTCAGTCATACTTGCCCACACTCAGACACACTCAGTCACACTCGCCCACACTCAGCCACACTCAGCCACACTCGCCCACACTCGCCACACTCAGACTCACTCGCCCACACTCAGACACACTCAGTCACACTTGCCCACACTCAGACACACTCAGTCACACTCGCCCACACTCAGCCACACTCGCCCACACTCAGGCACACTCGCCCACACTCTGCCACACTTGCACACACACACCCCCACACTCAGTCAACACTTGCCCACACTCAGCCACACTCGCCCACACTCAGTCACACTCGCCCACACTCAGACACACTCAGTCACACTTGCCCACACTCAGACACACTCAGTCACACTCGCCCACACTCAGCCACACTCGCCCACACTCTGCCACACTCAGACACACTCAGCCACACTCGCCGACACTCAGACACACTCAGTCACACTTGCCCACACTCAGACACACTCAGTCACACTCATCCACACTCAGCCACACTGGCCCACACTCAGCCACACTCGCCCACACTCTTCCACACTCGCACACACTCAGCCACACTCGCCAACACTCAGCCTCACTCAGCCACACTCGCCCACACTCAGCCTCACTCAGCCACACTCGCCCATACTCAGACACTCTGCCACACTTGCCCACACTCAGCCACACTTGCCCACAATCAGACACACTCAGTCACACTCGCCCACAACTCAGCCACACTCGCCCACACTCAGGCACACTCGCCCACACTCAGGCACACTCGCTCACACTCTGCCATACTCACCCACACTCTGCCACACTCAGCCACACTTCCCCACATTCAGGGACACTCGCCCACACTCAGTCACACTCGCCCACACTCAGACACACTCAGCCACACTCGCCCACACTCAGGCACCCTCCGTCACACTCGCCCACACTCTGCCACACTCGCCCACACTCAGGCACACTCAGCCACACTCCCCCACACTCAGACACACTCGTCCACCTTCTGCCACACTCAGCCACATTTGCCCACATTCAGGCACACTCGTCCACACTCATTCACACTCGCCCACACTCAGCCACACTTGCCCACACTCATTCACACTCGCCCACACTCAGCCACACTCGCCCACACCTAGTCACATTCACCCACACTCGCCCACACTCACCCACACTCAGCCACGTGCAGTCACACTCTCCCACACTCACACTTGCCCACCCTCAGCCACCCTTGCCACCCTCACCTACACTCAGCCACACTCACCAACAGTCAGTCACACTCGCCCACCCTCAGTCACACTTGCCCACACTCAGCCACATTTGCCCACACTCAGACACACTCAGCCACACTCGCCCACACGCAGCCACACTCAGCCACCTCTGCCACACTCACCCACACTCAGTCACACTCGCCCACACTCAGACACACTCTGTCACACTCGCCCACACTCAGACACACTCAGCCACACTCACCCACACGCAGCCACACTCAGCCACACTCGCCCACACTCAGCCACATTCGCCCACACTCAGTCACACTCGCCCACACTCAGCCACATTCGCCCACACTCAGTCACACTCACCCACCCTCAGCCACACTCACCCACACTCAGCCACATGCAGTCACACTCACCCACACTCAATCACACTTGCTCACCCTCAGCCACCCTCAGCCACCCTTGCCACCCTGACCTACACTCAGCCACACTCGCCGACACTCAGCCATACGCAGCCACACACAAAAACACGCAGATACCCTCACCCACACTTGCCCACACTCAGCCAACTCGCCCACATTCAACCACATTCTTTCACACACACCCAAACTCACGCACACTCACCCACACTCGCCCACATGTAGCCACACGCAGCCACACTCTGCCACACTTGCCCACCTTAGCTACACTCAGCTGCACCTGCCCACCCTCAGCCACCCTAAGCCACACTCAGCCACAATTAGCCACACTCAGGCACATGCACCCACTTTGTCAGCCACACTCGCCCATACTCAGCCACATGCAGCCACACGCAGCCACACTCGCCCGCACCCACCCACACACAGCCACACTCACCCATACTCAGCCACACTTGCCCACATTCACCCGCACTCACCTACATCACCCACACTCCCCTACGCTCACTCACACCCAGCCACACTGAGTCACATTCAGCCACACTCAGCCACACTCAGCTTCCCCCTCTACAGTGTGCAGCCATCAGCACCCAGTGTTCAGGGGCAGGTGTCTCGGGCAGTGACCCTTGGCCCTCACAGCGCCCACCTAGGCTTGCCCTGTGCCCTAGCCAGAGTGGGTGGGGCAGGGTTGGGGTGAAGACCCCGCTGCAGCAGGCCAGGCCATCCTGGTCCTCAGCAGCCCTTGGACCCCCTCCTCAAAGCAACCACCATCCCCCACCCCACCCCCGCCCCACTTCCTGAGAGCTTGCCCTGAGTGGTCTGTGAGCACAGTGGCCTCTGTCGCCGTGTCTTCTGTGGGCCCAGGGAGGGGGACGCAGACATTCTCCCATCCTGTGGGGGTCCAGCGCACTCTGTGCTGTCCGGGCAGGCAGCAACCGCTTCTACGATAACATCGAAGACATGATTGGCTACCGGCCGCTGTCTCTCATCAAGTGGTGCTGGAAGGTGGTGACCCCCGGGATCTGTGCGGTAAGGCAGCCCTCCAGCCTGCCCCCACACTGGGACCTCCACAAACCCCACCCCACTCTCGGGACCCCACAACCCCGCCCCCATGCTGGGAACCCCCACAACCCGCTCCCACGCCCAGGACCCCCACACACCCCCCACCCCCATGCCCGGGGCCCCCATACACCCGCCCCCACACTCGGGACCCCACACACCCCGCCCCCACGCCCGGGACCCCCAGAGCCTGCTCCCACACTTGGGACCCCACACACCCCACTCCCACGCCCCCCACCTCCCACGCCCGGCCCCCAGCCCACAGCACCCGACTAGAAGCTGGGAGGTGAGACCCCCGGGTGTCCCACAGTGTCCATGGCCCGGCTGCGTCTTTCAAAGAGGGACGGAAGGGCCAGGGCCCTCCCCAGCATCCCAGCTCCCCAATTTACCCCCAGCCTCGGGGTCTTGCTTCTGGACCCCTCTGTGTGGGTCAGGGTCACACTCTGTCCCCTGCCAGGTGCTTTGATACCCAAAACCACCACCCCCCCAGCCCTCGCTGCCCTCTGCAGATGACCCAGAACCTCTTCACGGGCCCTGGAGGCTCTGGAGGGGGCAGCTTTGAACTGGCCTGAGGAGAGGACGTGGGGGGCCACGTGGGGATCCTCCCTCGAGTCACTGTTGCTGGGACCCCTCCTCCCCCTGCCCAGGGCATCTTCATCTTCTTCCTGGTCAAGTACAAACCGCTCAAGTACAACAACGTCTACACGTACCCGGCCTGGGGCTACGGCATCGGCTGGCTCATGGCCCTGTCGTCCATGCTCTGCATCCCGCTCTGGGTCTGCCTCAAGCTGTGGAAGACGGAAGGCACCCTGGCGGAGGTGAGCGGGATGGGGCGGGGGTGCCCTGGTGGAGGTGAGTGGGGCTGGGGTTGTAGAGCACCAGGCAGGGGTGAGCGGGGCTTGGGGGGGCCTGGGTGCAGGGGGCTCTCAGTGGCAGAACTGCGAGATCAGCCTCCACTTCCCCCTCTGTGAAACGGGGCCCTGGCTGGTCCTGCCTCTGGAGTGGGGTTGAGGATCGGGGGGACCCCCGGGGGACCCCCATCATTACTTGCTGCTGGTCCCTCGTGGAGAACCCTGGGCCCAGGATCCTCCCTGCATGCCGCCAGCAAGCCTGGCTCTGCATTTCATGATGCTTCATCCCAGGGGGCTTCGGGGGCCCCGGGCCAGGGCACAGCCTTGCTTGCAGCCAAGCCGAGACCCTTCCTGGTGCCGTCTGACCCCTACCCTCACCCCGCCTCCCTGCGCCCTGCCAGGTGTCACTCTGGTGGCCCTCAGCACTGAACCATCCAGCCGGGAGGGCTTCTGGGGCCCCTGAGAACCATGTGGGAAGCCCCCTCTGCCTCACCCCTGCGAAATGAATGCACTTCCTGTGCTAACTTGTAGCATTTGCACAGTGTTGCAAGTGTACAACACGGGTTTGCTGGTCCCGGGTCACAGACGCCCTTAGTGGGGTCCGCCCCCGCCCCCCAACCCTCCTTGCTCCTCTCACCCCATCCGGCTCAGGCCCCTCAGCGAGTGCTAGCCCTCACCCCTGCCGCCCGTGCCCCCTCACTCCTGCCCTCCCGTGCTCCCCTTCCCTTATGGTAGGAGGGTGGCTTGACCAGCCCCGCCAGGGAGGGTGGAGGGGCATGTGGCCTCTGCAGAGGCGACCAGCTCAGAGTAGCCCCCAAGGCCGGCCACAGCCCGCCCCTCTGGAGAGTCTGGGGGTGGTCTCTTCTCCAGCTCGGCCCCTGCAGGAGGGGGCAAGTGCTGTTGCTTTTCTGACCTGGGACCAAACACCCCAGACCAGAACGGGCCTGAGGCCTGGTGACTGGCCGCTATGGGCTGTGCCCGCACCCCGCTTCCGGGCCTGCCCACCTTCCGGGGCTCCTGGTCAGCATCCCCAGGACCAGGTCCATGTGGGAGGGACACGGGCATGCAAGACTGAGGCTCCAACCCCCTGCCCCGCACCCTGGCTCAGGGAGCAGCCGGGCCTGTCTCCTGCCCATGCGGGGAGAGAGGCCACTCGGTCCACTTCCGGAAGGACCCGCCAGCCAGCAGCAGGACCGGAAGGGAAAGTGGGCTCAGAGGAGGGCAGCCAGGGCGGAGCGCCTGCAGGTCAGATGACCAAGCTGAGCCTCGTGGGGGCCCCATGAGGCAGGGAGTGCAGCTGGAGAGGGGGCGCAGTGCCCCCCGGGAGGCAGAGCAGCTGAGGTCGGGCCGCAAACCACCAGGCCACACCAGCACGAGAGCCTCTCAGGCACCCCCAAGGTCTCTGCAGCTTTCCGGGAGGACACGGGTACCCACAAAGGCAGTGAGCTCGAGGGAGGGGCCGCGCCCGGCCCTGTCCTTCTCCCTGGATTAGGCCCCCCACAGCCATGCAGGGCCAGGACAGGAGCGGGGGCGGGGGGCGCTGGCTAAGTGTCCACACCTTCACACAGCCCCCCGGGTCCTCACTGCACTGTCATAAACCAGACCCCCATGTGAGCGCCCCCTTATCCAGCACCATCTCAGCCCCTGGTCCTGGCATTCCGTTTTGCAGAGCGGGGAGATGCACAGAGCGAGGACTGAGGAGGGAGGGGGCTGAGCTGCCCAGCCTGGACTCATGCAAGGCCTCCCTCTCCCCCCCCCCCCACCAACCATCTAGAAATTCCAGAAGCTTACGGTCCCCAGCGCCGACCTGAAAATGCGCGGCAGACTCGGGGCCGGCCCGCGGACGGTGACGGTGAACGACTGTGAAGCCAAACTCAAGGGCGACGGGGCGATCGCGGCCATCACAGAGAAGGAGACGCGCTTCTGAGCCGCCCCCCCAGGCCCGGCCCGCACCCCGTGCCCCTAACCGTAGCCCCGCACCCCGCAGGAGCATTAACCAGCTAACTCCGGCGTCACCAGTCAGTGCTCACCGAGTCCCAGAGCCTCCGGCAGCGGGAGAACAGCCGAGCCAGGCTGAACCTGCGCCTCCAGGCCCCGGACACCCGGGTCTCAGCGGGACTGTCCTCCCTGTCCACACGGGCCCGCAACCTCCTCCCTGACCCCCACCGTCACCACGACCCCTGACCTCCACCACGACCTCTGACCTCACCACAGCCTCTCACCTTTACCATGACCCCTGACCATCACCATGACCCTTGACCTCCTCCATGGCCCCTGATCCTCACCACGACCCTTGACCTTCACCAAACCGCTCCTGCATGTCCTTGTGGGGTTTCAGCACCAGCTCCCCTCACACCTGCTCTCAGCACCGCTGGGGTTGTTGCCCGCGCTGACGGGGTGCGGGCCCCACCCATGACCCCCTGCCTGGGGCCTCACTATTTGAGCCCCTCACAGGCGTGCGGGGCCCTGTTTCGCCCAGGTCCTTCTGGCCACACCTCCAGCTGACTGGGTCCCCCCCATCCTGCACCCCAAGGTCAGCAGAGCACCCGTGGTGCTGCCCTGGCCCAGCTGGGCGCCCCCCCCCCGGGGTCCCCCTGTCCAGCTCTGCAGGGAAATTCAAGGCCCCAGCGAGGGGCGGTGGCGCGCAGGTGTGTGGGCCTGACCCTCGCTCCCCTCCCCACCCCCCCACCCCCCCAGTCACCAGCAGCACCTGACGGCTCCTCTCTCAGCCCTGATGCTGGAGGGGACGGGACTTGTACCCCAGACCACCCTCCCATCCTGCTAGGATTCAGGGGACTGTGGGGACAGGGAGGCCCCGTCCCTTTCCTGCCGCCCCGTGCCCATGCCCCAGGCTTATTGTCGTGCCCTGGATGGATTCAGCCCCCCATCCCCCCAGCGTCGCTGCCCTGACCCTCCCTTTGGGAACCTGAATTCCCCGGAGGGGATGCCCGGCGCCCGCACCCCAGAGGCCAGGACAGAGACCCCTCTTTTGTACACATAGCCCACACCTGCCCATCCTCAGGGCTCCTCGGGAAACTCAGCCCCTCCCCCACCAAAAATGAAGCTTGTCTGTCCCCCGGGGCTGCAGCCAGACCCCGGGGACCCTCTGCTGCTACAGGTTCCCCTCAGCCCCCCAAAAGCGCAGTGACTGGTGCACGCACTTAATCTTGGCTCCTAACACGACTCACAGGTAGGGCAGGGAGGGGCCGGGGGCCTGGCATTTTGTAATTTCCTACTAGTATTGGGGTAACTTGGGGTGGGGAGGGAAATGTGGGGGCAGAGAAACATTGCGGTGACTTTTTTTGATATTCCTTAGAAACAAGACATTCTCTGGAGATATTTACAGTATTATTAAAAAATGAAAAAGGCTGTTCTGGTCTTGCCTGATGAGTGTTTTTTAATGGGTGTCTCAAGGGCACACGAGTCCACTTCCTCATTTTGGAAAAATTGGAGGCGGGAAGGAACTGCTGGTGGTGAGTCCAGCCGTGCCCAGCTCAGCTCAGCTCAGCTCAGCCTTTGGCTCTCAAACCTCACAGGTGCTGCGAAGCTCTCGACCCAAGTTTGAGGCTGCAGCGGCAGGATGGGGTGACAAAGTGGCAACAGTCCCCTGATGCCCCCCTGCCTTGTTTCACTGATCACTTCCGCTGCTGCACAGATGCAGAGGTGGGGGGTGAGGGGCATCCAGTAGCTAGAGAAGTCAAGTCAGTAGTCCCCGTCATGGAGCAGGTAAAATGCAGAAGCAGAAGGAACCCAGTTGCCGGGCCAGCCGGGTCTGCCTTCTCTGTTTGCTTCTACCGTTGTTTAGTTTGAGTTTTGATTCTTGTAACATTGTTGCCATCTGCAGGGTAACAATGTTCCAGGTGCTCATGTTGCTACTCTACACCCAGAAACATAGTACCAACCACTAAAGGTCCTTTCCATCCATCACCTCATCGGCACTCTTTTTGGGTGCGGGGAAGTGCTGTCCCCCAGAACTGCGTTCAGGGCTACTCCTGGGCTCTTGCACTCAGGAGCGACCCTGGGCACTGCTCTGGGACTGTGCATCCTGCCGGCCGCCTTATCCCATTCTCTGGGGTCCTGAGCGGTGATGTGCCCGCAGCTGCCCCCTGCTGGCTGAGTTGATGCTGCAGGCCAGCTTCAGTGGGGAGGGGAGGGCACTTGCTGGAAGGATGGGAGGGAGGGAGGGAGGGAGCCCCATGCAGCCCTTCACTGGAGTGCTCCTCCTCCTGGTCCAGAGGAGACCCGTCCACACCCCACTGGGAAGGGTGAGTGCCTGGGAGAAGCCGGCTGCCTGCCGTCAGTGTGAGCTGAGCAGTGCCCCTCTGGTGCCTTCTTCTGGCCTCGGCTTGGACCCCAGTGAAAGGAGAAAACAGGCTGCAGAAAGAAGGGGGCATGGCTGCTCAGGGCTCCCTGCCCCTCTGATCCCCTCCTCCTGCGCAGACGCACACCCTGTCCGTTTCTGACCAAAGGCAAAGGGGTCCTTGCGTGGCCCCTTATGCTCCCTCAGGGGGCTGAGTATCTTCACGCCAGCCCTGCCCGCGCCCGCACCCACCTTATAGTAGGGCCCACACAGGGACCTGACGCCCCTACTGCTGTCAGAGACCACCCCCGGGCCTGCTGGGGTCTCACCTGCTCCCCCCAGACACCACGGGACGGAATGTGCCAAGGTCATGGCCTGCCTCGGCCCACCCTGCCTGGAGTCCTGGGTCACCCCTCACTGCCCACGCAGACCCGTGTCCTGACCTTTGGGCAGCTGCCACGCCTGGAGGGCCGGGAAGGATGCTGGGGCAAGGGACAGCATGAGTGAAGAAGGACCAGCCCGCAGCCCCCACCATGCCCTGGGCAGCTTCCGGGCCCGTGTCACCTCCCCTCGCTGCAGTAACAGTCTCACCTTCGCCCTCCAGACCCCCAGCTCAGCTGCCACAGAGGAGGAAATGTTGTGGGACTGGCCAGGGTCATACAGCACAGCGTGGTTGAGCCGTGGCACTTGCCCAAGTGCCACCCATGGGGGTGGAGTGGCCCGGGGGGAGGTCTCGGGGCGCTGGCAGACACAGACGCCTCTGTGGTGTCCTGGAATTGATGGTCTGTGCCACTTTCCGAGTGGGGACAAGGGTAGCTGGAGACTAGGGAGGGCAACTGAGGCGTCGGGGTGACACGGGCATCCCGGAGGGCACCAGGGGCGTGCTGGGGACCCCTGGGCAGATGGGGGGTGGGAGCAGTTCCGGGTGAAGGGCGCTGGGCTCTGACCTCTATGGGGTCATCCGAAGTCTGGGGCTGGAGGTAGAAGCCCCCCAAGAAAGGGGGCATCTCTGGGGGGAGGGCATGGAGGCTGGGAGGTGCTTTCGGCAGTGCTTCCGCCAGAAGCGGCTGTCTGAGGGCGGAGGCACCGCCCACCCGCCCTGGCCTGGGTAACAGGCGGGCTCAGAGGAGCCGCCAAGTCAGGCTCTGTCCTGGTGGCCTCAAGTGTCCTTTCTCCAGCATCTGCCCACACCCAGCCGAGCACTGGAAGGTTCCAGAAGCTTCTAGGCTCACCCTTGGATTCACCCGCACTTTACCCATGTGGCAGCAGCCAGAGATGTGGCTGGAGGAGGAAGTCGCCAGTGCACACAGGTCACTGAGGTCCCCGAACACTTGCCGATCGTCCCCCTTTCTGCCCAGCTGCCTGGGGCATGGGGGTCCCTGGCGGGAGGTGCGCGAAGGGTGGACGGCGAGACTCACCCCACGGCCACCCAATGGCACCGCGGCCAGCAGGTGGCGCTGCAGCTCAGCCCCCAGCAGCTCCTGAGCTGAGCGGAGAGGGCAGAAAGGTGAGACTGCGGGTCCCTGACACCCCTCTCTGGGCACCCAGAAATGGGGGAAATGTCGCATGACTCCCCCTTCTCACTCCCACCCCAGCCCTGTGCCTGCACTCAGTTCTCAGCTGCTGTGTGGCATTGGGGAGTGTCTGCCCCTTCTGACTCAGCCCTAAGAACAGAGTTCCCTGTCACTCTCCCCGCCAGGATGGGGGTCCCGGAGGAAGCCCCAAGTTTAGGGGCTGAATCTGGGCCTCGGGCATCTCCCTGATGGGGCCTGGGAACTGGCTCCACCCACACATGGGGCACCCGAAGCAAATGCTCCCCCGCAGGCAGGACCCCGTAATCTGCCAGACCTGGAGGTTTCTGCAAGCTCTGGGGGTCTACGGGGTATCCTGGTGGACCCCAACACAGTCGCCGATAAAGGCATGTGCAGGGGAGGTCACAGATGGGATTGGCAGCCCAGCGCCGCCTCTGCCTAGTGCCCAGGGCAGCCCCCCCCCCCCCCGGCATTTCACCGGGCGCAGCTGCTGCGTGCACCCACACCTAGGAGCCAAGACCTCAAGGAGCTCGCTTCCCCGGGAGCCAGCTGGGCACGCCGCCTGGCACCCCCTCCCAGGTCGGGGCAGCTGCAGCCCCCCGAGGGGTGCAGAGCGGCGTGCGCGCATCCCTGGCTCGGACAAAGAGCAGTTGTTCTGGCGGAGCTGAAATTACTTCTCTCTGATTGCCGCTATACAAACCCGCCGCTCGCTCCCCGCCCGGCTCTATTTCAAGGAAGCGCTGATGAGCGCTGATTGCGCCGTGATTACGGCGTGTGCCCGCCCAGCCCCCTCCCAGGCTTCCGCACCGGCCGGCCGACCCTCCAGGATCTGGGACCCTCCAAGAGTCCTGCTCCCCACCTGGGTGCTGGGGGCTCAGCCCTTCCCCTCTCACCACCCCCTTTTCCTCCACTGGCCACAGCACGAAGGAAAAGGAGTTGCAGAGAGGGGTCCGGGTGGGCCCCGCCAGCATTGCACGCGCACATATGTACATGCGTGTGTGCACACACGTGTATATGCAAGGACTGGAACACAGACCTTGGAGACGGCTCCTGCCGCAGCTCTGCAGGCGCGGCCAGACCTTCCGGGAACGGAGATCCCCTACCCCATGTCACGCTCCGTGGCGCACACCCGTGGCCCCCTGGGGGTGAGACCCCACACTCAGCTCAAAGAGGCAGAGCACCTGCCTCTGAGTTCAGCTGGGAAGCGTGTGGCACATCTTGGGCAAAGCCTGCCCATTCCTCCTGGTGCCCGCGTATCCCCTGGTCCCCCCAGGCTGGCGCTGGGTGGGCC